GAGAAAATAAGGATTTTTTTTCTTCTCCGAATGCCTTCAGGGCAGGTTTGGCTGGCTTGAGTTGTAGGGATCGAACCACAGCAACCTGAGCCTGACTGCTTTGTTGAAGCAGCCACTTAAAGAACTGAGCTAAGGGGCAGGCCCCCCTCCCATGCCTTCTGAGGTCAGAGTTTTCTGTGTTGATTGTATGTGACTAGAGGGAACACAAAACATTTTTTCTTTCCTGATAGACTGGGTATAACTTCATCTTTATTAGAAAAAGAATGCAAGATTAAGCTTCCCTTCAGCAGCATGCCTTGGATCTTTTTTTTTTTTTTTAATTTTTTTTTTTTTATTTTATTTTATTTTTTTTTTTGGTGGAACCAGGGATTGAACTCAGGTCCTTGCGCTTGCCAGGCAAGTGCTCACTCCACTGAGCCATCTCCCCGGCCCCCGCCTTGGATCTTATTGGGCTTTAACTCACATTTCTATACTTACTTAGGAATACTTCTATAATTACTTCTGAAATGTTCTACTCTGTCAGAGGTTTAGTGGACTTTTCTATTTATACCCCTGTGAATGGCCCATTAATGTATTTGCCCACATTTCTATTGGATTGTCTTTTTGTGATCAATTTATATGAGTTCTTAACAGTTCGGTTGTAGATATTTTTCCCAGGGTTGACTGTCTTTTCATTTTGCTTTGTGGTGTTTTGACAGTGGATGTTCTTATCTAATGTAATCAAATTTATCTCTGTTTTAGTTTTCATCTTTCCTGTGTGCTTATGAACTACAGAAAGATCATAACAATGCCCTTTTGTATTGACTTCCAAAAATGCTACATTTTTCCCTTTCATATAATCCTCCCCATCCAGACTTGGTAGTGCATGCCTGTAATTCCACCACTCAGGAGTTTGAGGTAAGAGGATCACTGTGAGTCTGAGGTCAGCCTGGACTACAGAATAAGACCCTGTCTCAAAACCAAAATCAAAACAAAATCCTCCCCAAACTGACTTCCTGGACAATATAAAGTTCAAATGGCTATGCAGTTGCTTGAATATTATTTTTTTTCCAAGTTTAATACACCTATTTATTATGCACAATGTTCCCTTCTAGACCTTGAAAGACAGAAGTTTGAGGAAATATGCTTTTTTTCACTTTCTTATTGTTCAACACAAATTTTTTTTAAATATTTATTTATTTATTTATTTTGTGTGTGTGTGTGGCCAGCTCAGCCCACCAGGGGGCGGGGCGGGCTGGCATGTGGTGCTGGGGGATTGAACCGCGGTCCCTGTGCTTTGCTTAGCTTAGCTTGTTGTACGTAGGTGCTTTAGACCACTGAGCCATCTCACCAGCCCCCATGGCTACTTTCTATATCATTGATTTCTACTATTTCCCC